AAGCTCTAATTTAACATTTAGAATTTCACTACATTATTTAAGTTGTAATCACCCATAAGTCTTATAGACCTTGTTACATTATGTATCTGCTTAGGCAGAAGCCTGGAATGAACTTGTGATACTTTTCCAGTAATTATAAATAATCTCCTTTTTTGTTTACTGTATCATTTCAATGTGGGATCAATAAATGAAATGAACCAGAGGGATCTTTTTCAAAGGTTAAAGGCAGAGACAAAATATAGACATCATGGGTGTCTAACCTGATTTTTTTTAAATTTAATTTTCTTGTTTTGTCAGCTGAGGCTGAAAGCAATTTTCTATTTGGGTCTGTGGCAAAATCAATAAATTTGTCAACCAGAACCAAATTTGTTTGCTAATTTTGCAACATAGTAGTTGACTAATCAAACATTTCCAAAATGCTCCATTATATAACTGTAAAGGTGGCTTAGGTTGGGTTGAAGAGAGGGGCATGCAATCAACTGAGCAATTTCCTCAAAGCTCGTGGGTCATTGCATTTCACTTGATGTGGTTTCTTAGAATGGAAAATCAGAGCCTCTCCCAGGGGCCTGGGCTGAAAAGCCCTTTGGGGCTTCTTATTTGGGAGAGTCTCAAATACAAATTTTTTGAAGATGTCATCAAATGAGGCTAATCATATAGTCATTTTTATTGCCTATGTGTTAAGAAGTTATTTTGTTAAATAGAAATATTTAAAATGCACTACAGTTTAGTAATCCCATTTTGGATTAAAACAATTCAAAGATATATATGTATATGTGATGTCTTAAATAACAGAAGTGGCTTAAGCTTCCGTGGAAATCTGGAAGCCTTTACCGAGGTGAATTAGAAAATTATTAATCTTGACTTCTCTATTTGCAATTAATTTGATAAGTGGCTTTTGGGAGATAACATTCAATTATCTCTTATTTCTAATTTTTTAATTTGTAAGTTGAGTTTAATAATTACAGAACCATGTAAAGAGATACCTACAGTATTCCTAAGCTTTCGTTACTCTACAGTGATACAAAGAATAGGGCAGCTCAGGTACAGAAGTGCTTGACTCCCGTTCATCATGGCATAGAATTCTGCTATTTGAATAATTTAGGAAGATTTCTCTAACATTTTTCTATAGATTTTCTCTGTTGTTTTTTTTTTTCAAACATCCATATTAAAAGTGAAATAAAATGAAGAATTTGAAGCAATGACATCAAAAAAGTTCACAAATTCTCTTTAAGTTTGAAAAACAAAGGCAGAGGGTAAATCTGTATTAAAAAGAAGTAATCAAAATATGGTTTCTTTCTGCAGTCCTGCTGGTATTTTCCAGTTTTTAGGAATGACCTGGGAGGTCAGATAGACATTTACCTATGATGTGATAAAAAAAATAATCAATTAGATTTTGACTTTATGAATCTATGATAAAAGGTAACTTCTTGGAGAATAAGGCATCATCAGTACAATGTCATATAGAAAAGTCAACAAGAAACAGAAGCAAGAAAAAAAGGCAGATGACCTAAAGGGAAATTGAAGTGAGAGCAAAGAAAAGCAGTGACTACGGAAACAACGGCATTGCAAAAGTATTTAAAAATAGGTAATTTGGTTCTTAGTCATTACTTCTGCTACATGTCTTCTTCCAATTTGGCTACAACCAAATTCTATTTCCAAATACTATTTTGTACTATGACTAAAATTAGAAATTTGGGTACAGTCATGGTGAGAACAATAGGCTATCTCTCCCAGTGTCATTGCAAAATACCATGGTGATCTGACTAAAGGATTATTTTTTTTTTTAAATTATTGACTAATTTTAACCTGATCCCACTGGAACTTTCTCTTTAAAGACATCGTTGGAGGTAGAAATTTTAAACAGTGTGATCAATGATTTTAAGTAAGAAAATTTCTTATTCAGTGCACAGGTATAAACTGAAAAACTTCATTTTGAGCCAAGAGTTTTGTATTTTCAACAGATAACATTACATTGGGATGTGCATTCTAAAACCTTCTCTACTATTTGAAGATGATAGTCATAGATTGATGAAAGGGGTGTTGAAATGGAAGAATTATCACCATACATTTTCTTTCTCTATATAAGGAAAATGAAGATTTTATTGCTAGGCCTTGTTTTTCATAAAATCATCACTTAAAATTTATAGCATTGTGAGCTAGTAAAGTAATAAAAAGAAATAGTAATACAAGAAAAATAGTCAAATTACCATTGGCTCCAATTTAAATCTGTCTGTCTACATTTCTTTCTGCCATCTTTCTCAGGTAGGCAGATATTACCAAACCCAAACTATCAGTCAACCTCCTTACTGGCCTCCCCGTATCTACCTCCACCTCCACCTCCACCTCCGCCTCACCATCTTGCCTACATTTTAACTGTGCTGATTTTCTCACTTTCTTCAGAAGCTTTCAAAAGATCTTCATCACTAAAACTCAGAGTTCCCACAACTTACCACCTTTTGCAGTCTGTGCTATTCCATTCTGTTCTCCTGTTTTGCTCCAGAAGATCTCTACTGCAGCCAGAATGATTCTCACTGTTGCCAAAATATCCTTTTAGCTTTTTAATTTTTAGCATTTAATTTTAATCCAATATGCTAATTTACTGTAACTATTTAGTATACTTAAAGATCAGAATTACAAGGGTATTTTTCATATAGGATGTCTTTCCTTTTCCTCTCCACCTACTAGAATCTCACATGGACTTTTAAGAGCTGGATCAAGGTCAGTGGGCTACCTGGAATCTTGAATGTCCTAAGCCCCTGGGGACTCCTTATTTCCTGAAGTCCTAGAGCATGCTGCACAGTTCTGCTGACATTAATTAGGTTATAGTCTGGGAGCTAGGTCTCCCTTTATTTGGATGTGTCTTACCCAGAGCCTCTACATCTGTAGACACACAGACCAAAACTCATGTATCTATTCATGGTGGCATTCATTTGAATTTCTTATGTGAAGGCCAAGTTGAAGTGTTTTTTTATCTCATTCCTAGACTTGCTTCATTATTTACTACTTACATATTTTTCATTGTATCCATTTTTAAGGTCTACTCATATTCTGATGATTAGGTTTTTCTACAATGATACATGAACCAAGCCTGAGCCTAACTGAATCTGTTACATGGGCCATGAATTAAAATTCAAAACAGCACAAGTCTATTGCCAAATGTACATGTGATTACATTGTGAAATGATTTTAATAAGTATTCAGGACATTGAATTATAATGCTTAAGTCTGTGTTTTGCTTATGAAAGAAAAGTTTTTGGGAGTTTTGTCAAGAGTAGATCATATATTTCTTCATTAATTTTGACCACATCTGAAAATGTCAAATGATCTAGGGGAAAAAATAATCAAACAATGAACCAGATATTTCATTATTTTAATTTATTAACTTTTGCCAAATTAGTTTTTATGTGTGTATATTTGACATTTGATTTTTAAGTCAGTGTTAGAAAAGTTTTGTGATAAGAATTTTTCAACGTAGAGTAGGTTCAAATAAACAAGATTAAACTCTTCAATAGAAGTCTCTTATGTGTACTTTTAATTTTTATCCAATGCTAATTTACTATAATTATTTACTATACTTAAAGACCAGAATTACAACAAAGCCAACGCTTATAATTTTAAGGAGAGTAAAACTTTAAGTATCTATACATTTATCTCCACCCTATTTTATACGATATTATAATTTAATATCAAATTAACATATTGGAGTACATTCATTCTTGTTTAATTGACCCACTATTAAATGAAATTTTACCAGAATAGAAGTATTTGATTTTCTAACAATTATTGCAATTTTTTCATGGTTAATTTTATGTTTATCTGGTAACTTTGCAAACAGAAAGAAATATAAATTGAAAAGATCATTATTAAATGATGGAAATAGGAATTTTAAAAGGAACTTTCTTTAGATTTTCCTGCAATTAAAATTAGTACATTTGTTAATATCATTGTTCCCCTAGACCATAATACTTCTCATCTGATAAAATCAAAACTATGGGTAACTCTAAAAAGTAGACAATGAGCTAAGAAACAAGTAAAAGTAAGTTTACCATACTAAAGTTAATAGACCCAACAGGTACATTTGGAAAGGAAAAAAGAAATAGTTAACCAGACATTTTGTTTAATGTTTAATGTCTTGCATCAACTTAAAATTTCTTACTAGAGGACCAATGTTTAGTTTTCTTTTATAGAAATAGGTATTGACACATCTGTTGTAATCTACCATTGCTTCTGATTGGTTATATGATTGCTCATTCATGTCATAAATATTTATAAGGCAAAGAACCCTCAATTCTGGATTGGTTTGCGATTTGTTTTTCTCACCTCACTTTTATAACAGTGACTAGTTGATGCATTTTAATAGCAGAATAAATAAATGATTTGCCAACGTATTTTAACTCTGCCTCTGACATGTGGAGAGCCAAGTAGATTTTTTTGATGGAGAAAATATCTACTTAAAAATTCTTTTAAAATGCCAAACAGCCTTTTGCTTACTCAACACAATGCCTTTGGTGTAGGAGCAGAGGCTGATATTGGTCTGTGATTTCTAACTTCACGGCATCTTGAGTAAAAATATCATTTGGAAGTGTTTGTCATTCTGTAAAATTTTCTCTGAAAAGATCAATTCCAAAGAAAATAACTCTTTCACTATGTAATCAATATTTTCTGGACATTTTGATTATAATGTTTCATTTAACAATCTGACCCCATAACTATTGTTATTGTATTGTTTGACTTCAATTCATAAGCCTTTTGAAAAATTAATATTTCTGGATTCATCAGTTAACCAACCTAGTCGAATCTTAATAGAGAATGACAGCAACCAAGGTAAAACTTTCAGTGATTATTTTATTGTATAAAAGCCAAAATTCTAAAAGCAAACAGAAATTGGTGTAACTGATGTTTAATCCAAATGTACAACAGCAAACTGACTTAGCTTCTCTTTTTTTTCAAGAGCTGACGCAAGTTGGACAGAAGGAGGTGTTGGGATGAGGTGGTGGTGTTGATTGGCTTGTCTCGTTCACTCCCACTGATTTTTAAATCAATGTCTAGATCTTTAAAGGTTCATATAAGTCAAAGCTGTTTCAAGGGTCTGCCATTCCAAGCAAGTCAGAAAAGCCTGCGAAGGACTGGATAAATAATTAAGGTACAGCTGTTTTTACATGAGCATTTGCAGTGTTAATGCTTACTTTCTTATTTTTGTAGTGTTGATTGTTTATTCATTACAAATTAAAATGTTTGAAAATACTACTTGGATAACTTTTTTTTCTCATTTTAGAAATGATAAATTCAATATAATGTCAAACATTGAAATTATTTACCCAGGCCCTGATTGCAGTTTTCTTTTGCAGATAATTTTAGGTTTAAGCATACAATTGGGACAGTGGGTAATAAGAAAGAAAATGTTGCAAAAACAGCACGTAAAATGTGTTTAGTTATTTATATCTCTTGGTTGATCATGGACTGTAATGAAGAATGGACATAATTTGTCCTAGGAAAAAATATAAAAGTTTGGAAGTACATTTTCAATTGTACACTATTAAAGATTTTTTTAAATCTTGAAAACAAACAAAAAACCCACAAAATTTTTGACTAATCAGAGAAGGAACATCACTTTAGTGCAGCAGATGTGAATGGCTAAGAGTTTGGGCTGCACCATTATCAAATGAAAAAGAAAAAATATTGTATCTTACCTTTTCTTCTTAATTTGACCATTTTAGTTAAGGAGTATTTTTAGAACAAAGTTACTAAAAGAAACTAGGGAAGTGAATAGAATATAAGCATAGCTTTATATTTTGAAAGAGTAGAGTCAATTATCTAAAAGTAGAGCTGTTCTCAAATTTATTAATCAGATAGGGGAGAATTCCCAATATATTTAGGTATCCCTGTACCTTGAGTATCTTACAGAGTATATGTGGATGGTTTTAGTTAAATGCCCAGGGTATAGTAAAACTAAGAGTGTTCTGTAACTCAGTGGTAGAATATTTGAATTGAATATATATCACATTCATGAATACTGGGCTAAAAAATGTTTTAATTTTGACAAACTGAAGAAATTTGGGTGTATTTTTAATCAAACATTGCCATTTATTCTATAGTTCAAGATCTTCCAGTTTTGATTTATATTTAGATAGTGTTCTGGGATTTTCTTGAAAGTATTTACATTTATACTCCTAAGAAGTATATAAGCAAGATTAAGATCTGAAAAATGTAGCATTAATGACTAAACTTTTGAGTTTTCTTTAAACATGTTATACAGTATACTTTAAGGTTATTGAAGCTATTTTTTAATTCTGTGAGTTACTTTAAATAAAGTGAAAATAATTATTTTAAGAAGAAAAAAGTACTTCTGGGAGTGATCTAGTATCTATTAAATGAATGAAACCTACTGCATCCAGAATTCATGACAGATTAAGCACCATGCATTAAAATGTGAATCATAGAGCTGACTCTGTTAATATCATGTAGGCTACATATCCCTGCACATTCTGGAAACTACTGTTTGGGAAAATAGGATTTAAAATTTATGTGGCAATTTATGTTTAAGATGACTATGTTTTTTTCTAGGAGCAGAGCTAGAAAGTCTATAAACAAAATCAAATATTCAAATTTTATGACTAGTCCTTTATACCTCTTCAAATGGCTGCTTTAATGCTTGTATTAGCAAGAATGTAATATTTTTAGCAATGGGAAAAGACCTCAGTATTTGGTTATTTAACTTTTCTAGTTCTTCCTAGATATTACCTGCAAGCTGCATCTGAGTAGAAGGGGGAAAAAAAATGAAATGCTAAAATATTAGCACTAGCAATAGGAAATAGTCAATTAAGTACAGTTCTGCTGTTATTGTCAGTTTGTTTAAAAGGTACCTCAGACTGAATGCTTTTATGAAAACTAATTTTTGTAAGAACTCATGCTATAGAACAATACATGTACGCACTGATGAAATGTGACTGGAATGGCCTTGTTGGGGAAATTAAGATAATTTAATATAAAGGTAATATTAGATTGATTTTAGTGTGAAAGTTATATTCATTTATCAGTGTGAAAGTTATATTCATTTATCTGTGGTACAGGGTGGATGTAGATTTAAATAAGTTCCTTGGAGACAAGATGATTTGGCTTTTAGAAGTTGCATGACCCTTGCTCAACCAAAGGGTAACACAGGTAAAGCTATCTGCTACCTAAACCTAAATTTCAAAGTGGATTTGTCAGTACTGGATAGGCATGAAAGATGAGACAGATAGCAATGCTGGGAAATCTGTTCTGGCAATATTAACTCCCTTTTCACTTTCACTTATCAGGTAAAATAAATGTTTACCGTAACTAGGGAAGGTCAGAACTTTTGCTTCTCGACTTAAGGACTGTTTTCCCTTCTAGGTTCAATGTCTTTCTTTGAAGTTGAACCATATAGGTACAATATAAGAAATTTACTGTTTTGACACCCTTACACCTGAGCTTCTTAGGTACCCATCCAAAGAAGAGGGCATTACAATGTTTAATAATTAGAATTTGGATATAAAGAATTAACTACTCAGAACACTTAGATATCTTTTAATAAATATGATGAAAATGAAATTATGCTAATACCATGGTATTCTAAATACTTGGTTTCAAGTTTCGACTTCGTATTTTCATGAAGAGTGAATGGAATCAAGAATGCAGTTGACCACTGCGCTAGAAAATCCAGTCTGTTTCTGCAAGACTTCTTTGTGTCACAGAGAAACTTAACTTTAATGGGGAGAAAGGCTAGACTATAGAAATTTCTGTTGAACTAAATTTGATTTTTCAAGAAGCAGTTTGGGGCCGGGCGCGGTGGCTCAAGCCTGTAATCCCAGCACTTTGGGAGGCCAAGGCGGGTGGATCACAAGGTCAAGAGATCGAGACCATCCTGGTCAACATGGTGAAACCCCATTTCTACTAAAAATACAAAAAATCAGCCGGGCATGGTGGCGCGTGCCTGTAATCCCAGCTACTCAGGAGGCTGAGGCAGGAGAATTGCCTGAACCCAGGAGGTGGAGGTTGCGGTGAGCCGAGATCACGCCATTGCACTCCAGCCTGGGTAACAAGAGCGAAACTCTGTCTCAAAAAAAAAAAAAAAGAAGCAGTTTGAACATTCTCTGTGCAACAAAGCTATGCTTTCTCCTGACAATCAGAAGAGAACATTTTCATTTCATTTTGAAGCATTATGCTATAAAACTATAATCAAAATCATAGCTTTATCTATTAATATAACGCAGATCATATCCAATTGCATTTATCTTAGTGGACTATATCACTAGGCACTGTGCTAGATGCTGGGAATATGTATAATCCACAAACCCAGCACTGTTCCTGTTCTCATGAAGCTTCCTGCCTGAGACAGTTTAGTTGCCTATTAAATAGGCAACTAAAAGAGTCAGTTAAAAGTGTGCTAAATACTACAAGAGAGAGGAGAGCATATAGTGTAATGTGAGGTTAGAAAAGACTTGTCCAACCAATTGACCTTTAAAGATTTTCAGGTTGTTTTAATTAACATTGGGAGACACCTGGGCTAAGAATGTGGGGAGGAGCAGTCCAAACAGAGAGAACAGCACGTTAAGAGGTACTGCAGTGACAGCAGGGAAATGAAAGAAGCCCGGTGTATTCAGTGAGTGTGGCATGGTGGGATTCAATATGAGAATAAAGAGCTTTATCTGGGTCAAAGTATATAGAGCTTCCAGTGTATTAGGAAATTTGACTTCAGTCTAAAAGTGATGACAAAATCACAGTAGGGTCTTCAGTAGGACAGTCATTTGGAATAACATAGTGGTGATGGAGAGAGAAGTGGATCAATTTTAAATAAATGTTGAAAGAAGGACTGATAGGACTTGGTGATACGTTGGACAAGAGTAGGGGGTGAAGAATAGAGAATGGCACAGCCAAGTTCACCCAGTGAGCGGCTGGGTGAACGAAGGTACCACATTCTGATATGGCGAACAGCAGAATAATCTATACCTATGATAATTTTTCATTTCAATTACAGTGTTTGCCAGAAATATTCTTTTCTATCCTCCCCATGCAATAATTCTTTGATTAATTCACGATATGTTTATTCCAAGTAAAGGGTAAAAATGTTAGTTATGTCATGCTATAAGAGTTTGCTCAAAATCTGTTTGTTTTAGTAGGCTGGGTTCCTCAGGTGCAAGGAATCTGTTTTATTTATCTTCTGTGTCTTCCATAGTTTCTGATTAAATTTTAGCAATTATGATTTAGTCTAAAGGCTTCAAGACATATACTTTGTGCTGCAGACAGATGATTCAGAATATTTAGTTTCTCAATGTGCTAATTCTTTTTGAATTGTGCATTTAACCATTGTTCCCTTAAAATAGATCAATAATATAATCTTCAGAGTTAAGATATAAGCTATGAAAGCATATCCCAACTTTTGTGAGAGCTCCCTTGGCCAAGGCAAAAATTGAATAAATCTTCTTTTTTTTTGTTGAGATGGCGTCTTCCTTTGTTGCCCAGGCTGGAATGCAGTGGCACAATCTCGGCTCACTGCAACTTCTGCCGCCTGGTTCAAGCCATTCTCCTGCCTCAGCCTCCCAAGTAGCTGGGACTATACGCATGAGCCACTATGCCCATCTAATTTTTGTATTTTCAGTAGAGGCAAAGTTTTGCCTTGTTGGCCAGGTTTGTCTCAAACTCCTGACCTCAGGAGATTGACCTTCCTCGGCCTCCCAAAGTGCTGGGATTACAAGTGTGAGCCACTGTGCCCATCCCAATAAATATTTTATATATGCTAAAAATGTCATAAAATTCGGTCTTAATTTGTTCATTTATGAAGGGGCACCTACCTTGCTCATAATGTTTATGAGAGTTTTGAGAACTTGTAAAACCCTCTTTTGTAAGTCTATGCATATGAAATACTATTTACATTTGCATGTAGATAAAGATATCAATTAGATTCTGATTACTGGAAGAGAGAAAAAGGATTTAAAATTTATTGAGGGCAAACTATATGCCAAACTTTGACACCCATTATTTCATTTAAACTCTCACAACACTGCTTTGTGGCAAATAATATTACCTTCATTTCACAGAAGATGGAGAAGTCAAAAGATAGTTAATGTGGCCAGAATTTATACCCAGTTTTGCTTACTGCAAAGCCATAGTTCTTGTTCCCTG